GGACGATGGGACAGAATCATATGCAAATCCCAATATGAAAAATTGGCCGTTAAATATTTGGGGGGGAGGAAGTCGATCAATTTTTTTGTGACATGTTGTACTAGTTATGATATGTGAGCTTTGCGGTTCAAGCTACGTGGCGCAATCTATTTGGAATGAGGTGCGAGGTGCAAGGTATAGGGTGCAATTCACCATGCAGAATTTGAAACGTCGTCCAGTCAACTGCTCGCGCAAATGCCCCAACCTTCAACCCGCAACTTGTTTTGCACAACTTTTGCGGCCGCGACTGCGGTGACTGGTTGATACTTGCTGGCGCATCTCTGCGGCAGCGCTCCCGCGCGCAAGTTCGCACGCAAAGAGGTCTGCTGGTTTGGCACAACCGATGCGGCCGCGATCGTGCTTACCGATGGGAACTGTCCAACGCGTCTCAAAGGCGCGCATAACCTTCCGTGTGGGTCGGTGATTCGGGCGTGCGCGGCATCATGACGGCTTCGACGCCCGCGGTAACGATGATTATAGTAACGATGGTGGTGGCAATAATGAGGATGACGACGTCAAGGCCAATGACGGCGCCGATGCTGGTGACGACGGTGACAATTGTTGATGTCCATGTGTCGGTGATGTAGGCAGATGGCTGATGGTGGCGGCGATTAGCGCCGACGATAACGGTGGTGTTGCGGTGATGTTAACTGTGGTGATGATGAGGAAGTGCACGCGCGGAAATGCAAGAAACTTGCCAGATTTGTGTTGGAACACACATGGCGTCATATGTTGTGAAGGGTTCTATTTTGAAACGCATCGAACCCCAAAGGTTCGGAACGATTCTGGACGCGCGCGTTGCGGCGCGTGCGTGTGGCCCGCATGATGTTATTTGATACGGACGCTTGCAGTTGGCCGAAGCTGGATCAACGCAGACGCACCGCGTGGTGAGATGAGACTTCGGGTTTGGGACGAGAGTGCTAAAATCAGATGGCTTTCTTACGATTTCGAAAAATACGCGCGGGTACAACATCTGCAAGGCTTGTCACGGCAACGCTTGATTGTGTTTCATGTGTTTATGTTGGAACGTGTGCATGATTACTGTGTTTGGTTCGATGTCGACATGTGCGCGCGGTGATGTATTATGCACGTGGCGATTTGCACATGATCGCTTGAAGCGAACAAGTGCGCGCGCATAGGGGGTCGTTCGGCTAAACAGGGTGGTGGCTTCATGCGGGAAGGGAGCGACTAGAAAGCGCCGCATGTGAGCTGCATTCTCCCGAGGTGCCTCTAAGGCCGGGGGGGAGAGGATGGTGGAGCCTGCTCTCCCCAAGGAGCACAGAAATGCTGTGTGAGCTGTGCAAGTGTATGCACGGTGCGCCCACGGGCGGCAGCGCGGTGGAACCTCAACGCACCCCCCCAGCGCCACGGGGCGCCCACGAGTCGGAAGAGGGCCTGAGAGGAGGAGCAGGAGGAGGAGGAGGAGGAGCAGGAGGAGTTGCAGGAGGAGTTGCAGGAGGAGGAGGAGCAGGAGGAAGGAGGAGGAAGGAGGAGGAGGAGGAGGAGGAGGAGGAGCAGGAGGAAGGAGGAGGAGGAGGAGGAGGAGGAGGAGGAGGAGGAGGGCCCACGGGCGGCAACGTGGCGGAGCCTCGGCGGACCCGCCCAGCGCACGGGGGGCGCCCGCGAGGCGGCCCCACGCGCGGCAGCGCGGCGGAACCTCGGCGGGCCCTGCCGGCGCAGGAGGCCGCCGCGAGGCTGCTGCGAGCGGCGACTCTCGGCATCGCTCGGACGTGTGCATCTTTTCCTTCGGCCAGGACCATCGAGGAGCATCCTTGATCATTTGGCGAAAAAAAAAAAACCACGCACGAAACCGGGAAAAAAAAACAGGGAATGGACGTCCGAGCGATGGCGAGAGCTTGGCGGAGTCTTGCCAGACCCACGCAGCGCGCGAGGCGGCCACGAGGCGACCATGGGTCAGAGCCCCGAATCATCAGGGGCAACTCGGGTCAGGGCTAACTCGGGTTCGTTTTTCGGGGATCCAGACCCGAGTTACCCCGGACCCGAGTTACCCCGGGTAACTCGGGCGCCCAAATGGGTGGCAGCGGGGCGAAACCCCGTACGGCCCACCCAGCGCACAAAGGCGGCCACGAGCCGGCCCTGGGCGGCAAGGTGGCGGAACCTGGCCGTAGCCGCCCGGTGCACGAGGGGGTCACGAGGTGGCCACGGGCAGCAGCGCGGAGAATCCTCGCCGAACCCACACAATTATTCGGCGACGTAAATCGTAAGAACAAATATTTGCAAACACCGTTGGAGTACGCGTATTCATACATATATGTGTATGAATATACAACTGTGTTGTATATATATATATATATGTTTTATGGTTGCACAGATGTTTCACAACACGATAAGACCATATGGCTTAGAATACATGGATTACGCCACAGATCTTGCACCGCAATGTTTGTACCGCATAGCTTACAGCACATCGCTTGTACGGAAGAGCTTGAGCCGTACATTTTACACATTATATGTTGCACAGCGTAGCTTGTACCACACAGCATTCACCGCATATATCGCGCAACTTAAGGTGCAGCACGTAGCTTGCACCACATATATGACACCTCATAGGTTGCACCACATGTCTTGCACCACATCGTTTGCACGATATGACTAGCATAGCATGGCGTGCACAACATAATTCACACATCCAGAGTGCAATGACACACTGCTTGAGTACCATGCTGCTGAACACTCTCTATATGTTTCTCCTCCTTGCTACCGCTGCGCTGAATTTGCGAACTTGGCCAGCTCGGCCGTATGTGGTTAGTGACACGTTGTCCTCTCTCTCTCGCTCACTCTCGTTTTTTTTGTTCCTCTCTCTCTCTCTCTCTGTTTCTCTCTTTCTTTCCCTCTTCACAGGCACGCCTGAAAGCACGATCCCTTCCACCTGCAGGCGGAGGCTCATGCGACTCCGCGCTCGATTTGTGGGGGGGTCAAAGCGTGAAGTTGTGCGAAACAGATTCCGACGTCGCGAAGAAAAGTATGCCGGCCTCGATTTGCTGGTCCGCCTCTCCCGCAGGTCGGAGACAGAGATCCCCAGAAGACCCCGTCGGCCGCCACAGGCCCCCAGGGAGGCCTAGAAGAGAGGCATTGTCAGAGATCTCGATGTCTCCCCATCCCTTATTCCCCGATCCAGTCCCTGTCCCTCCCCCTCCCTCTCCCCCCTCACCCTCTTGCGCCCCTCTCCCCCCTCCACCAGATACCTCCCCGTATCCCTCGCCCTCGCCACAGACGTCGCCGTCGTCCTCCACCCTGCCCCCCCGAAGCAGGAGGAGGGGATGGAGGAGGAATATCATCAGCAGCAGCAGGATAAGGAGCAGCAGCAGCAGCAGGAGACCGTTGATACTCTCGTCGCCGTCGTCCATGGCCCGCCTCCTCATCGACCTCTTCCTCTCCCACCCATCGCCTTCCCAGCTCCCCCCACCCCCGCGCCCTCCCCTCCCAGCCCTTACCCTCCCCACTCGCCCGTTCCTTTCCGAGGGCGCCCTGTCCTTCGTCTCTCCCCTGGGGGGCGTCCCGGGAGCGCGAAGTGTTCGCGCTCCGCGCAGCTCGAAGCGCGAAGTCCTCTTCTTCTTCTTCTTCCTCCTCCTCATCTTCCTCCTCCTCCTCCTCTTCCTCCTCCTCCTCCTCCTTCTCTCCTCCTCCTCCTCCTCCTCTCCTCCTCCTCCTCCGCATCCTCCTCCTCCTCCTCCTCCTCCTCCTCCTCTCCTCCTCCTCCTCCTCCTCCTCCTCCTCCTGGGGAGGGGGTGCCCTTGAGTCCTTTTCCCCCCCTCGCCCTCGCCCTCGCCCGCCCCTCTTCGCGCCCTCGCCTCCCCGCCCCTGCGCTCCCCCCGCCTCTCCCGCCTCGCCCCTCGCCCCTCCCCTCCTCCTCCTCCTCCTCCTCCTCCTCCTCCTCCTCCTCCTCCTCCTCCTCCTGCTCCTCCTGCCCCTCCTCCGCCCTCCTCCGCCCTCCTCCTCCTCCTCCTCCTCCTCCTCCACCACCTCCTCCTCCTCATCATCATTCCGCCTCCTCCACCTCCTCCCCTTCCTCCTCCTCCTCCTCCTCCTCCTCCTCCTCTCCTCCTCCTCCTCCTCCTCCTCCTCCTCCTCCTCCTCCTCTCCTCCTCCTCCTCCTCCTCCTCCTCCCCCTCCCTCCTCCTCCCAGCCTCTTCCTCCTCCTCCTCCTCCTCCTCCTCCTCCTCCTCCTTCTACTGGTACAATTTTGAACGGAAGCCTGGCTGATGGCGATTCAGCAGGTGGAAGTTGCGCCACTGGCAACGCTGCATCTATTGCTGGTGCGTTGGGTCATCGCATGTTGGCGCGGGGTGCTCGAACCGCTCGGAACTGTCGACGGACAGGCCTGCTCCCTGTTCTCAGGTGAGCTCGCGTGATGGTTAGGCCCCCTCGAGCGTTTCATGCATTTATGGGGCCCCCTGACCGGGGGGTGGTCGATGCCTCCATGAGTGCTGAGCATGTCGCGTCAGGGTGCGGCAGCTTGCATATTGATTCTGGAGTGGACCACGGTGCTATCTTGTATCCGCACATGGCTGGTGGCGTCCCAGTTAGTGCTCGAGTTGTCGCAGCGAGACCCGCTGCAGCAACACCGAGTCTAGTTGGCGGTGCCACAGAACTTGGTGGGGGTTCCAATCCTGGCGAGTTGTATGAGCTCATCGACCACATGGAGACGTTCGTTGGCCATTGATGTCTTGACGTGGGAGCACCCGACGGCCAAGGATGACTGGCTGTTCTGGTGCATACCGTTCGTAGAGCTCTGCATTGCCGAGCACGACGTTGAACGCTATGGCCCCCGCTCCACCAGAGCAGCGCACCCTGGCGGAGCAAATTTGCCTAGATGCTTGGACACAGCACGTGCCCCAGCTATACCGTCATTTGGAACGGTCCGACGGCATGTACATGCGTGACCGACGGCGATGGTATGACATGATAATAGAACGTCATCGCGACCTACGCGGGACAAGGCTGCCCCTGGCTAGCGAGATGGCCGACCAGCCATTTGCCAACTTCCTGACCACCGAGGCTTCGCGGGCCTTCGGGGCATCTATCGACATGATTGCGGTGCTTCGTGATCTATGGGACGATGACGATGCTGGCGCACAGGACGCTGATCTGGCTTACCCGCCTGCTGGCAGTGAAGATGAAATTCCCGACGGTCACCACAACGACGACATGGTATTGCTCCAGCGTCGCGTCGAGCGCCCGCCCGACCACGCACGTGCAATTGGGCGCTCTCTTCGACAAGAGAGGCCACTCCATCGCCCTGAATCGAGTAACGTTGATATCGGTTGCACTCGTAGGCGCCCTTACGTCGCTGGCGGAGTGCACCGCTCACGTTTCCGGGGCCCCCAATCGAGCGTCCAGTTGGGGGGGTGCGGCTGGTTTGGTTCGCGATGGCCAGTCGTCGCAGGTAATTGCCGTGTGCAGCTCGGAGCAACAGCCACGCTGCGCTCCCAAGTCGGGCCGCCGCAAAGATTTCAGGGCAACTACTTTCAACGGACGTGGCTGGCCTCAGATGTGTGATTCTCTGGATCAGAATGCAGGCATGCATTGAATTTTTGCCCAGGAACTGAAGCAGCGTGGCGATGGGATTCTCAGGGACCAAGAGTGGCCATATGCTCGGGGGCGGAAGGCTTTCTTTCATCGCTGCAGCCGCGACTGGTCCAGATGGTGGACCCCGTGCTGGTGTTGGCATTGTCATAAGGAAGCAGATAGGTGCGACGCTGCTCACATCGTTCGTGGACACTTGCACGCTTGTGTACTCCAACGCCGTTGCGGTCATAGTGCAGGGAGGCAGGCGGCATGGCGTCATTGCGGTTTCTGCGTGCATGGAGCAGGCGCTGCTACTCGCTGGTGACCACGTCAAGCATCTGCAGACCATTGGGTCTTGCCTTGCTCGCTACCATTTGCCATTCATCGCAGGAGGGTATCGGAAGGTCCCCCCCAGAGGCCATGGACGCCTCGGGATGGCCTGCCCGTTTGCGCACCCGTGTAGCACCCACGCCTGGCGGCACCTACCGTGACCCCAAGACAGGAAACTTGACGGACTATTGTGCCCTCAGCGATTGCTCGGCGAGCGCGCTACCCCCCCCCCCCCCACCCCACCCCGCCCACCCACCCCACCCCACCCCCACCCACGCGGGTGCCCGACTTCCCACCGAGGGATCATTTTGTCGGGGGGGGCTTCCTTGGGCCCTCGTGCTCGTGCTCAGCAGGTTACTGTGCTCAATGGACCCCATCACCTACCTTGCTTGCCAGCTGCGGGTGCCAGGGAAGATGTGGAGGGCGAAGATGCGGAGATTCAATTCATCGTCGAGAGAGGGGGCCTTGGCCACTCGTGGGTCGACCTCGCGCGGCATGACTCCGAGCTTCGTTCTGGCGAACCAGCTGATCATGCCGCCCGACTGGGCGGCATCTGCTCACACCTCTACGCTCGTGTAGAAGCGGAGCTACTACCTCTGTTTCAGGTTGGGCCTGGCGGTGCCCCCCGCTACACTGGTAGGGGGGCGCCTCCACGACGCCGCAAGGCGACGGCAGGTGGTGCGTTGGCTCGCTATCAGCCCTCTGCGACGCACGAGTCCCGAGCGTTGCGCATTCTTCAGCAGAGGGTCCAGGACGTCCAGATTGCTGTCCAAAAGTCTAATGGCAGCAGGGCTCGCGCTTGGACCCACCCATTCTCCTTCGTCGGTCAAGAAAGGAAGGATGGACGGATGAGAAAGCATCTCACCCTTGCCACGGCTGACGCGGTGACCTACTTCCTCAGCAGCATCCTTCCCGACTCCGGGGGGGCACATGTGCACGCTTGCTGAGGTTTGCCGGAGACCACCTCGGGCGGCTCGCTGAGCGCGACGAGCGCAGGCTCGCCGCCGCGCGTTCCCTTTCTGTCACTGCCGGGGTGCGGACGCACCTCAGACAGCCGCCTTGCCCCGTGCACAAGTGGTCGAAACTTAGGGGATGGAAGATGTCACAGGTGGATGCAAGTTTGGGGCCGTTCAGCTCTTTGACCGACATCTGCGACGCACAACGTGGATCTCGGGCCGGCGCCTGGGAGGGACGCGACGACGAGCCACCAGATAGTCGGCATAGCATTCACGGCGACGGCGATGGTGGACTCATTGAAGAGATGCGGGCTTTACGCAGGCAAGGCCCCAGGCTCCCGCCTCTGCCCATCTCCAGCCTCAGGCAGGCGGCCCTTGGGACATCTGCTGCATTTGTGCGAAACTTGGGGGATTTGGCCCCCCTGTCTGCCCTGCGTGCACGCGGTCCTCCTGCGGGGGCCCACTGGTGGATGCCGCCCAATTGTCTCGCTACCTTCCATGTGCCGTCTTTGGGCCAAGGCTGGCGCGGATTGGGTCAGGTCTTGGGCTAGCAGACTACAGCGTCCCCACTTGGCGCTAGGTGCGCAACGATCTACTACTGATGTGGCTGCTCGCGCGTTGGTCGGCGCCGAAGCTGGGTGCCACCTTCAGCCCGACGCTCAGGCATCGGTCCTCGCCACTGTCGACATCGCCAAGTGCTTTGACAAGGTGCACACTGGCTAAAGCTGCTGCGCTCAGGTTCCATGCACTCCTTTCCGAGTGCATTCCTCCTCCTCGTTTTTCGCATGTACATGGGGGCCAGGAGGTTGGCGTGGAACAGTGTCTACTCGCCGGTTGTAAATGCTACCAGGGTGTGCTACCAGGTTGCACGTTTGCGATGCATGCGTTGCAATGTGTCATGTTCACCCCATTTGACGCTTTGACCAAACGCACCACGGATATCCCTCGGAGTCTTGGTATGCATGTATGCATGCATATATATGTGTGTATATACATATGTATATATATATATATATATATAGATGCTGGTGACCTTACCCTATCTATTGCTAGGCGACTCGGCAGTTTGGGCACGCGGGGTGTCATGGCACCGCGCCCCCTCGCGCATGTGCTTCGGGCCTAGGGGCTGCTGCCAGCGACTCACAAGGTGAAGCTCGCCATTTCCGTGCCCAGGTTAGGCCAATGGATTGCGCATCATTCTCGGGATCTCGGGTATTGTTGCGCTTCCGCTCTGGAGGCCCTCGGGATAGAAGTCGCCTCGGGCCGAGCCATCAGGCATTCGAAACTTCGGGAACCAGTCCGTGGAGTCGCTGGGCGCAGTCCTCGTCTGCAAGCACTGCGCCAGGCTGGCCCCCTGCTCAGCGAGTTTCACAGGCGGTCTCTCCCACCTGCGATGACGCGCGGACTTGGGGCGCACAGTGCCCCGCCCAGACTGGTGGAAAAGATGCGGTCTGTGCAGCGCGTTGCGTGGCGCTCGGCTGGACCCCCCACCTCCTGTCGGTTAACCTCCTGCCTGCAGGGGTCGCAGTACGCGGCCCCTCAGATCGAGGCCTGGGCCGCCCCGCTGTCCCAATGGGCCGTGCTTTTGGGGGGCCCGATGGTTCCTCATCGTGCCCGACAGGCTGCTCGGGTTCGGCAGATTCAGAAGGTGCACCTCCCAGAGACCACTTGGACAAATATTGCGGGCCCTGCTGGGGCCACCCTCCTAGCCCTCAAGGACCTACGATGGGCCACTGGAAGCCTCGCCACCTGGAGGGCGGATCTTGGGGTCGCCTTGGATCCGGGGCTTGCCGCGCCTATGACAATCAAACAGCGCGCCCGTGAGGCTGGGGTCAGGCGACTCTGGGGACGGCGGCCCCGCCGATCCCCACTACCTGGAGAACCCCCCACACACCGCGTGAACCCATTGAGTATCGGATGGAGCCCATCACGCATCTCCCTCTGGAAGTACCAGCGCCTGGACCCCCCCCCAACCCTGCTGACGATGACGACGACGGCTTCTAGCCCCATCGCGCGATGACTCTGACACAGACGAGCAAGAGACGGGAGTAGCGCGGCACACCAAGTTCCTAAGTACAAAGAGGCAGGCTTGCTCCGAGCATGGCTAGGTGGGGGCCTCTGGGCGCCTGCTCGGCTGGCGGCTCGCGGCGACGGCGACGACAGTTCGTGCCCGAAGTGAGGGCAGATGGGTTGTGATTTATACCACACATTGTGGGGCTGCCCTCACCTTGCGACCTCGAGGGGGCGGCGCTGTGGCGTGATCGACTTCGCGGGATCCCCTGCCAAAACATCCGACAACACGTTATGGGCTCGTGGGCTCGTGGGCTCGTCAGTCGTTCTTGCTTTCCGTCGATCCCGATGCGTGGCGGCTCTCGTGGTTGGCTCATTCAATGCGGCAACCCAGATGGAATGACAGGGGCCATGTACACGGACGGGGCATGTTCCAAGATATGGTACTGGCCAGATGTTGCTAGAGTTGGGTGGGGTTCTGCCAACTTCGGGAAACCATGGGGCACGGCGTCGATATCTTAGTCTTTGGGGCGCTCCCTGGCCCCATGCAGATCTCGCCCAGGGCCGATTTATTTTTGTCTTCCTCCGGGTTATGTTGGTTTGCCGCCCTCCTGTTGTGGCCCACGCGGACTGCAAAGGCCTCCTGGACGGTCTGGCCCTCGGATCCAGCTGGCGCTGTGCCCCGCGACAGGTGAACGTCGATTCGCGGGGACGCATATGGGCCAAGCTGCAGTACCTGGGCGAGGCGGGGGTCGATGTCAGGGTGGTTCTCGTTGAAGGGCCTCGGCGTGGTCAGCACAATGATGCCGCGGGCAACAGGTGGGCTGATCTCGCTGCCCGCAACGGCGGAGATCTGCGCGCCGCCCCTCGGTCCTCCTGCCAGGCCAGGAGGCTGCGACACAGTGAGTACATCCGTGTTTTGCAGTGGGGTGTTCACGCCCCCCAGTCCTTTTCGATGGCCACCGTATGGAAGCCCAGGCCACGGAGACGGCCCGAGCGTCTCAGGCCGCCAGCTCGGCCCGTTCCATTCGAAATCGAGCAACCGGCCCACAGGCGGCACGCGTTTGCCCCTGTGCCGAAACGGAGCATATGGAAGTGCTTGTATTGCAAGAAGGGTTCTAAGCGGGAGGAGACCCGTCGTCGCCTCTCCCTCCTTGCCGGCCCTGATCGGGCTCGGGGCGTTAGGGATCATGTTGCTGGGAGGCCCCCCGGTGCCGCGCGCCCTGGTGACGCTGCGGGTGGACAGGGTGGCAGCGGGGACCTGCCTCCCAGTGCTGTGAGCCCCGAACTCCATGATGGTTTGCCTGATGCCTCTCCTCCCGACTTCGTTCGTTTGGTTCGCAGTCGGACGAGGCCCCCCCGCCTCTCCCCCCCCGCCCGCCGCATGCGGAAGTGGTCCCGCGACTGCGTATTCTCCCAGCCCTGCGCGCGGTGACAGAAGCCGTCGACTCAGCGAGCCGCAGGACACCGTACGCAACGTGAGGCGGAGTGTTGGTTTTGAACACATATCCTTTCTTTGGGGTGCTACGGGTGCTGAACAGGCTAGCGCCAGAGTGGACCTGGGTAGGCATGTCATACCCCCTAGGTCGGGCCCTGCCTTCCGCCCCGACAGGAGGAGGCGGGTTGGATTTCATCGCCCCAGGCCCTCCCTCGGCAGCGCCACTGAACCCGCTGAGCCCCTGACGCCAAACGGGCCCGTTCCTTCTCAAGCTGCCAGGGACCACAGGCTCTAGGTGGCCCCTGGGAGTGTGTGTCTCTGCGTTTCCTGTTGATGTTTCACCACTGGGACGGCAGGTCAGTTCTTAATACATTGCCTCTCCTCGAACCCTGGCCACCAGCTGAGCGAAAGGGCCCAGAGGAACGCGCCGCTTTTTTCTTTCGGGGTTTCATCCCTCGGGCAAGGCGCCCGGAGACCCCCAGCGAGTCCCAGCGCCTCGGCCCCTGCGTGTTGACGACCCAGAAGGTTTATGGGTCAGGCTCCATCGGAGCCAGCCTTCTAATCGTGGAGTTGGGGGTTAGTAAGCGCGAGAGCGGGGCACCCCCTCGGCGTGCTCCCCGCGGCCTACTCTCTTTCCCTAAGCCCTCAACCTACCGCGCTGTGCCTGGGGCTCGCCGCCCGAGATCCGCTTCGGTGGGGTGGCAAGCTGCTTTTCCAGGCTCGTGGGGACGGTTCATCGCCGCTCTGGCCTCTGTGTGTCGGGCAGTGCACCGTGCGTCCGCTCCAGTCAGCGCCGTATCGTAGCATGATCCTCCAACTCCAACTCCTCCTCCTCCTCCTCCTCTTCCTCCTCCTCCTCCGTCTCCTCCTCCTCCTCCTCCCTCCTCCTCCTCCTCCCCTTCCTCCTCCTCTCCTCCTCATCCGTCTCCTCCTCCTATTCCTACTCCTCCTCCGTCTCCTCCTCCTCCTCCTCACTCCTCCTACCTCCTCTCCTCCCCTTCCTCATCCTCCGTCCCTACCCCTCCTCGGTAGTCCTCCTCCTCCTCGTCCTCCTCCTCCTCCTTCCCCCCCTCTTCCTCTTCTGCTGTCCGAGCACATCGATGGATTTCCCCATCCCAGCGACCCCGGTTAGATCTGCCCCTCACCTCATGGAGGTCGTTTCCCCTCGTCGCCCTCGTTTCCTCTCCTGCTGCCTCAGCCACAAGCTCTGACCAATGCGAGCACCAGCCCACGAATGGTGGCATGTCGACTGTAGGGAGGAGGAGGAGGAGGAGGAGGAGGAGGAGGAGGAGGAGGAGGAGGAGGGAGCAGGGCAGGAGCAGGGCAGGAAGCAGGAGCAGGAGGAGGAGAAAGAGGAGGAGGAGGAGGAGGAGGAGGAGGAGGAGGAGAGCAGGAGGAGGAGGAGGAGGAGGGGGAGAAAAGGAGGAGTTATGTGAGCAGGAGGAGGAGGAGGGAGGAGTAGTGGAGGAGGAGTGGGATGATGATGTGAGGAGGAGGAGGGAAGGAGGAGGAGGAGGAGGAGGAGGAGGAGGAGGAGGAGGAGGAGGAGGGGGGAAGAGCTCCGACACGCAGGACAGGTAGACGCGTGCCCAGGGTCCAGGAAGCGCTTCGTCTGCACTCATGGCAAAGGCTCCCATCTGGGGCTCCTGGGGCGCGCAAGACGGACGGAGCTTGGAGAACTCAGTCCACGAAGATTTACCACAGCAGCCTTTGCAAGGCCGTGTCAGACGCCATCTTAGACAGCGTTTCCCAGATAGTTGCTCCAGATGAGTCTGCAGATATCGTTTTCGAAGCTGATCGTCAGGATCTGATCGACAGTCTCATGCGCTTGTACGCTCCTTGGACAGAATAATGTGACCAGGAATCCGCCCTTGCTCATGATTCCGCTGGTGGCAAGAGTGAGCAGGGACCGTCAAAACGAGTTGACCCTGAAATGCAAAGCTTTTCCTCAGAGGTCGAGGGGGATGGGGTTTCCTGCAACCGAATCCCAGGCTGAAGAACTGCTGGACTCCACCTGGTTTCTCCTCCACAAAGCCGGCCGACTTCGGCCGAGCAATGGGCTCTGGGGGTTCCCCCCCCCTGACCCCCTCTTCTCCGCCTCCTGCTCCCCCTCCTCCGCCCCCTCCCCAGCTCACGGAGGAGCCGCAGGCGAGGATCGCCCTCCACGGCGCGGAGGCCTTCCGCCGCAGGAGTGCCGAAGCTCAGGAGGGCGCCCGCGGACCCCCTCGCCCGCCCCGCCTGCACGGCGCCAGGAGGCCATCTGCACGTCAAGGGCCGCTTCCAGGAGATGCAGGCGGGGAAGCCTCCTCTCTCGTCCTCGTTCCCGTCTGTTTGTTTCTCCGAGTTCACTCGAGCATGCGGAGCAAACTGGAATTTAGCCTTGCGCCATGCCTCGGTCCGATGACGACGACGACAGCCTCCTCCTCCTCCTCCTCCTCCTCCTCCTCCTCCTCCTCTCCTCCTCCTCCTCCTCCTCCTCCTCCCTCTCCTCCTCCTCCTTTTCCTCCGCCTCCTTCTCTACCCTTCCTCCTCATCCTACTCCTCCTCTCCTCCTCTCCTCCTCTCCTCCTCCTCCTCCCTCATCATCCTCCGCCCTACCTCCTCATCCTCCTCCTCATCCTCCGCCTCCCTCCCTCCCTCCTCCTCCATCCTCCCTCCTCCCCTACCTCCTCCGCCTCCCCTCCGCCTATCCCTGCCTCCCTTCCCCTCCCTCCTCCCTCCTCCCTCCCTCACTCCCTCCCTCGGCCTCCCTCCTTCCTCCTCCTCCTCCCTCATCCTCCTCTCCTACTCCTCCTCTCCTTCCTCCTCCTCCTCTCCTTCCTCCTCCTCCTCCTCCTCCTCCTCCTCTCCTCCTCCTTCTCCTCCCCTCTCCTCCTCCCCTCCTCCGCCTCATCCATCCTCCTCCTCCCTTCTCCTCCTCCTCCTCCTCCTCCCTCCTCCTCCTCCCTCCTACCTTCCTCCTCCCTCCTCCCTCATCCTCCTCCCTCATTCCTCATCCCTCCTCCTCCCTCCTCCTCCTTCTCCTCCTCCTCCTCCTCCTCCTCCTCCTCCTCCTCCTCCTCCTGGCACCTCGCCCCGTTCACACCCCGCGCTCACGCTGAAGGCTGCACTGGCGCGCCAGGGCCCGGAGCCCACATCCCCGGCCGCCTCCTCGCCTCCCTCCGCGTCTCCCCCGCCCCATCTTGCTTGGCATCGCTCGGACGTGTGCATTTTTCTCTCGGCGGGGACCATCGAGGAGCATCTTTGATCCTTCAGCGCAAAATGCACGCACGAAACCGAAGAATGCACGGGGAATGGACGTCCGAGCGGTGGCGAGCTTGGCGACGAGCGCGGGGGGGGGGAGGACGAAGGGGCGGGCCGTCTCAGGAGGCTCGGAAGTCCCCCGGCCTTCTGGGACACGTCCCGAGCCCTCCCCGAAGACACGGACGACCCGTCAGAGGGCGCGAGGGTTTCGGAGAAGCCCCGCCGCCTTCTGAGAAGGCATTCTCCTCATCACTTCCCCTCTCGCTCGGCGCCGACACTCACCCATGCATCGCCGACAGGGGCGTGACAGCCCGCCCCGCCCAGGAACGTTCGGTGTCGCTATCGGGGGCCCATCGCAGATCTATGAACGAGCGTGTTATACCGCTGCTGTGATGTTGCTCCCATCGTACTTAAAGGCCACATCCCGCCCCAAAAAAATCGAGAGCCCCCAGAAAAGTGTCGAAACAGTGTCGCCCCCCAGGGCTCGACATTAAAACATCTGAAGTTTCGGTACTTTCTTGGTGCTCGAAATTATTAATCGCTTCGCTCATTCCGCCGGCCCATATTGTCGCACCGTTGTGGGCTAGCCGAGTTTTGGGGCCTCTTGGGGGCCGTTTTGGGGCCTCTTGGGGCCTCTTTTGGGCCTCTTGGGCGCCTCTTGGGGCGTCTTGGGGGCCTCTTGGGGGCCCTTCTTGGGGCCTTTTTGGGGCCTCCTGGGCGCCTTCTGGGGCGAGAGGGCTCGATGGTAGGTCCGAAGGTTTCCCCTCGTGAAGCCCCTCTTGGGCCCGTCTTGGGGCCTCTTGGTCCGTCTTGGGCGGCACTTGGGCCGTCTTGGGGGCCCTCCTGGGCCGTTCCGGGGCCGTCTTGGGAGCCTCATGGGCCGTTTTGGAGCGGTCTTGGGAGCCTCTTGGGCCGTCTTGGAGCGTCCGGAAGCCGAAAAGCCAGAACGCAAAAAACATAGAAAAAAACAATGGAAATCAACGATTTTGGCCTCTTGAGGCCCTCTTCGGAGGCCTCTTGGAAGGCCCTTGGGGCGTCTTGGAGGCCTGTTGGGCTGTCTTGGGGCCCTGTTGTGCGTCTTCGGGCGATCTTTGGCCGTCTCGGGGCCCTCTTGGACCGTCTTGGAGGCTTCTTGGGGACCTCTTGGCCCGTCCTGGGGCCCTGTAACAGGGCTCCGGCATCTCTGGCCCGACCTTGCAGGGACCTTGCCGGGGTACTTTTCGTCCGGGGACCCCCAGGGGCCGCCCCGCGCGCGCGAACTAGAAATACTGTTAACCAGGTACCGGAGATCTTAGCACGCCCTGGCCCGTTGGGCCGGCGAATTTTTGGTGATCGAGGCTAAAGTAGGTTGGAACATCACAACGCTGCTGGCTGGGGGTTCCCAACCCGTCCCCCCATCGAAAACCAGGGGTTGAGGTCACTACCTGTTCGACCCCCCCCCTCTCCAACCGCATGTGGGCCCAATCCCAACCCACTGGGCCCAATCCCAACCAACTGGGACCAATCCCAACCAGTGCGAAAAGCAAACTGGGCCCAATCCCAACCATCTT